ATACATATACATATACATATACATATACATATACATATACATACACACACACACACACACACACACACACACACACATATAACAAAGGCAACAGTAAAAATATTGGGTTTCTGTCTGGATGGTCTCTTATGACCAGCCGATGGACAGAGAATGGAAGTAGTGAACTTCCTCCCATATTTGGGCATACCAGGGGTTGTGACTTTAAATATATATATATATGGATATTTTTTTTTGTGTGTGTGTGTGTATGTTCCAGCATAACTCTAGAATACCTTGAGCAATTTCAATCAAATTTGGTACACAGATTACTTACTCTCTGGAAACAAATACTGTGAGGGTAGGACACCTCTAACACCCCTTGGGGTGTTTGTTCTGTTAAAATACAATCTGTTGTGCCTTAAAATGGCTTCTACTGTACTGCCATAAAATGACTTCTATATTATACAGTGCAGTGGAGTTGCCATGGTAACGGCTTCACAGTACTCCACAAGGGGGCTCCCTCTGGTAAGGGGGAAAATTGAACATTAGAAATTACGTTTGGTCCGGAAATTTCCCCCCTATAAATAAATACCCAGGGTTATCAGCTATTATCATTATATCAGAACTTTGCACAGCAACACTCTCTGGCTTGTTGCAGCCTGGAATGACACCTTCTCTTTGTTGGAGTTCTCTGTGAATCTTCTGCTGAGCAAATGTAGAGGCTCACTTTCTCCAGGGAAGCAACACAGTGCAGCTGCCCTATTTGAAGTGAGTGTCATCCTGCTTCAAAAGTATATTTTATACACTTTGCCTTCCAAAGGAAGCATTCTGTTAACACTTGCAAAGTGTTAAGTTCAAAACAAAAAATCCCATTCTTTTTCAGTAGGCTCCAATCCCTGTTGGTCTGCATAGCATTATAGCTTTTAGGGGAAAAAATGTACTGTGCTTTCTCACAGCAGTTTTTGACAGTTGCCCCAAAGGTTAATGTCCTGATTTTAAAGTCAGTATCTGCATGCTTTTAGATGTCACCTTGTGTGAAGAAGCGTTCTTCAGGTTCATCGTGCCCAAAAAGCTATCTTCCACCTGGCTGAGCACCCTCATGGACAGCCTGCCTGGGGTGAAGATCAATCTTGAAAACAGAGAAATAATTAAACAGAAGAGCAGCCTGCAAGATCAGACCTTCCAGCTGCTGAAGCTGTGGAAAGAGCAAAATAAGGACCATCGTACAGTCAAGAATATTGTCCAAGGTACGTACTAAAGAAAAGCAAGGGATTAGGTTTACCAACTGGGCCCGTTTATGTAAAATGTTTGTTCCTGAGTATAGATTAAATCACCACAACAGTCAACGCAATCAGTTGAAGGTGGACATTGTGGTTCTCACCTCACTCATCGGAGCAGCTTTTGAGTACATAAGCCACGTGCCCATGTATCTTTTAGTTAGACGCTGGAGAACTGAGTGTATGAAAGTAGGAGACCAAGTGCAAAGCAACAGATTATTGGGTAGTTTCCCCTTTCTCTTTTCTTCTTTGCTTTTAGCGCTCAGTGGGTTGAGGGGATTTTCTATGGCTGCAGTATCTATAGCAGCCTGGAGCAAGATAAGAACTGTCATTCCTTATCTTTAGCGTTTGAAGTCAGTGGAGGTGACTACAATCCATCTTAAAAGTGCTTTGAAGGTTAGGGTGTTCAAATAAACACCCTTTATTTATTTGAAAATTGGCTTTCCACTTACTCCTAAACATTACATAAAGGTGCCACAGCCACAACTTCCTCCCTGCTATTTCTCCATGAAGTTGCCTTCATCTTTCATCCTTAGTTCAGGAATAAGGTAAAGGTTCCTTCGCACATGTGTGCTAGTCATTTCCGGCGCTAGGGGGTGGTGCTCATCTCCATTTCAAAGCCGAAGAGCCAGCACTGTCTGAAGACGTCTCCGTGGTCATATGGCCGGCATGACTAAATGCCGAAGGCACACAGAGTACTGTTACCTTCCCACCATTTTTCTACTTGCATTTTTACATGCTTTTGAACTGCTAGGTTGGCAGAAGCTGGGACAAGTAACAGGAGCTCACCCTGTTATGCGGCGCTAGGGATTCGAACCGCCGAACTGCCAACCTTCTGATCGACAAGCTTAGTCACGGAGCCACCACATCCCTAGTTCAGGAATAGGACAGGCTAAAGTTATTATTAGATGTGTTGGTGTTAAAATAGTTTCCTCCTTTACTGGGATATCATCTAAAGCAACCTCAAAATGGGTAAAAGCAGTTAAAAGATTGTGATCAGGAGAAAAGGCATTAAAAAGGCAAGATCATGACAAGGGGAAGAGAAAATTTCCTACAGGTATAGAGTTCTAGAGCCAGTTTGATGTTACTGTTTTGTTCTCCCCAGGAGCAACCTCTGTTCCCATGGGATAGAAGGTCACCTAGCCAAAACAATCCTCACTCTATTTATTTGCTCCTCCCCACCCACCTTAAAATGTGGCGAGCCAGAAAACCCCCGTTACATAATAAAGAGCAAAAAAGGAATAAATGAGTATAATAGAGAGCTAAATAAAATGGCTACACATATGTCAAATTGGGGCTTGACAGCTGGTATTGTGCCTAAGGCAGGACTAGAACTCCCAGCCTTCTGGTTTCCAGCCCATGCCGTTAACCATTTCCCAAAATAAATGGGTACAAAATGAAAATTCTTTTAGAGACATCTGGCATTATTCTATCTGTATGGAATCTAATCGACCCGCATGGCATTGTATCCATAAACTCAGATCTCCGCTTTCACTGCTTTTAATTTGTAGGGTAGATTTCAAGAAAGTATTGACAGAAAGAAGGGCTTATGTCCACCAGCATTGTAGCAATGGAGATAGGATCAATCATATTTTTGTGACCTTAATGATGAGAACTAAACAAGTTTAATTCTCTTTTTTTTTTTTTAGGTATCGATCTTTGTGAAAATAGTGTTTTAAAGCACATTGGCCATCTCAACATCACCCTTGAGCAACTCAATACCCTGATGGAAAATTTGCCAGGGAAAAATGTCGGCAGAGAAGAAATTGAACAGATTTTTGGGATGTGCCAATCCACAGAGCCAATTCTGAAGCTCTTGAATTTGTGGAGGATAAAAAATAAAGACCAAGACACCATCAAGAGTTTGATGTTTGGACTGAAGCATCTGAAATCATACCACTTCCCCAAAACAACAATTCAAGGTTTTCGGAAGGTGGTGAAATTCCTCCACAGCCCCACGATGCATAGATTATACCAGAAGCTTTTCTTAGAAATGCCAGGAAACCAGATCCATTTGGTAAAAATGAGACGTGGGTAGTTTTAAGTTCTCTGATCTTTCATTTGCCACTTGCTGCTAGCAATAATTAAATGGGGGAGGGGAAATGTTTTCCAATATGATAATGCTTATTTATATTTATGTCACAGACTGGGATAGCTTAGACTATCTTATAATTTTTGTTGTTGTTTTGTAACATTAAAATGCTTACCTGGATTCTGACTCCATCCAAGAATTCCAGTGAATTCCATGGACATAGAGAGAAATAATAGCAAAAAAAAAAAAAGTTTAAAAAAAGCATCCCGATTTGCTATTTATATTAATTTGAAATCTAAATTGTTGCATGTATTTATTACCTTCATTGGCAACTATTTGAGATTAAGTGCTGAAGCAGATGACCACTTGTTATAGAATCATAGGGCTGGAAGGGAACTTGGAGGTCTTCTAGTCCAACCCCCCCCCCTGCCCAAGGCAGGAGTCCATCCCAGACAAACCATGCCATTGTTCAAACATTTATAGCCCACTCTGTACTAATGGCCCTAAAACTTTATTTTCCAGTCCTTCAGAGTCTCTAGTGTGGTGTCATTGAAATTCAATATCAAATCAATAAGAGATTTTCTCTTCAATTTCAAGCAAAGAAAAACAAATCCTGCCATGCATGCAAATGTGCGTTAGGCATCTTAAATGCGACATCCTTCCCCTCTTTATCCCTACTTATATGATATCATGGTGTCGGTGGCCTTTGCTGTCCTAGGCTCCTGCAAATGCAAATCCACAATAGAGGAAATGCATAGTTCCATTTGCATAAAGAGGCCAGTGGCCATTCATCCTCTACTATAGGGGTGTCAAACACAAGGCCCAGGGGCCAGATCCGGCCCATGGGGTACGTCGATCTGGCCCGCGGGGTCGCCCTGGAAACAGCGGGGTTTCTGGATGGAAATGGAGCTCTGTTTTCACTGGCAGAGGATTGCAGGAAGCCCTGGCAACCGAAAACGAAGCTCAGGAGCCTGTTTTTGCAAGCCGAGTGCTCAGGCCATCACAGGTGCCCCTGACAGGAGTAACGTCAAGCTGGCCATGCCCACCACGGCTCCCCGAGGTCAAACACAACCCTGATGTAGCCCGCCATGAGATCAAATTTGACACCCCTGCTCTACTACCAGAATATTATATCTCAAACCTATCAGCCTAATGATGCATGGAAGGGCCGGGGAATTTAGGAGTTGGAGTCCATGCATCTTAAAGTTGACATCGCAAACATGACAACCTTAAAGATGTATGGACTTCGGCTGCCAAGCCCGTCCACACATCTTAAAGTTCACAAGTCCTACGAATTTCTCCACTATGTTACAAGCTACTCCTTACTTACATCTCTGCCATGAAGCACATATCAGGCTCCAAAATAGAGCCCAGGTTATACATTTTACGCACAAAAGCTTCAAAAAGTACCCCTCCCCCCTTTTTTTGCTTCCCATAACTGATTGCTATAGTTTCAATTCAATAGGTCCAAAATCTCTAAATTCTGTCAGAGTGGCTAGTTCCATAGTTCCCCATTTTTGCTACTGTGGCCTTTACATGGGCAGAAATTACAGTTCCCAAGATTCCTCGCCTGCCGGTTTCAAATTGGCCAAGCTAAATTGGTCTATTTTTCAGTGTTCCTACCAGTTCAGCCCCAAATCTCCTGCCTCCTTCACTTCTCTTGAATGAACTTGCGTTACTATAAGGAAACAAAATGTTTTTGCTACCTTCTGCCACCAAGGGAAATCTTTTGTGTGTATGTGTGTGTTAAAAAAATAAGTAACATATCTTTTTCTCCCTTCAAGCCCCTGATTCATTAATCATTTTATTTTACAAAAAAACACAAACTCTACCATTTCTTTCCCTCTTTCCAAGTGGCATTGATGTGGATCCATACATTGCAGGCTTGAAGCTTGCTCTAAACAAGCAGTTACAATATTTTTTTTCTTGCAGGAAAAAAAACACATAGTTGTTTTGTTTCCTTTTGCAATTTAATCTTGAATGTATGAAGGAATCTTAAATTTGAATTACAAATAGGTTGCAGAACGTGATGTCATCAGAACAAACAGACTGCCTAATCTTTTGCATTGTCTGTTGGCTGACTTCTAAAGTTGATAAAACTTCCAAGTCAAAAGCTTTTTGTATGTTTTCACCCTCCAATTTACAGAGGGGAGATTAATGGAATGTGTACTGTTTATTTTCAAGCTAAAAGGGATGGGGAGATATTTATATGTTGTGTTTTGTAGTAAACCTTTACGTCATTCTTCCTCTGTGGATTTTTAAAGATTACTTCTTAGGTGAGTCTGTATAGAATGTAGTATCTTTTGGAAATAATTTCCAGTAAAAGAAAAGAAAAAAAAGTGTTGCAAGTAGATCATTAAGAAGCTGTACAATTTGTTTTAGAACATGAGTGTACCCTATTTAAAAGATGAGTTTTCAAGATGGATTTTTGACTTGTGTTTTATAAAGCTATTTTTTTCATTTAAAATCTGTGGCTCATTGATTCTTTTGTCTCATAGTCCCTAAAAACTCTGTTCTGGCTACTTCAGAAGTCAAAAGGTGGAGGAAACATCATATTACATGATCTCCACACTGTGGAGGCTGAATATGATTTTAGTTCTTCCCACAGCTAAGTATTGATGACAATCAGGATTAAACTTGGAGAAGTTTAATCTGATTCAGCAGAATATGTTGTCCATCTCCCTTTAACTTTTCCTACCTTATAAGAATCCCCCCCAGTTTTAAAGTTGACAATGCCTTTATAGATATAAAACAGCGTTTCTCAACTTAGACAACTTCCAGATAGATATACTTTAGCAATAGCAATATATTGCTATTGCTATTACTAGAAATAATATTTCTAGCAATAGTAATGCTGGATGGGGAATTCAAGAAAGTGACATTCATATATTTAGGATATGCCCTGTTTGGAAAATACTGGTCTAAAAATATGAAGATACAGAGTTACATTGTACTGACTATGTTCATGTAACATGCTAATCCATGCTTAACTGACTCATGGTTGACTTAATACAACTGTTTGGATTCATACAGCATTAACATTACTGAATGTGTTTACATGATGCATTCAGCTACACATTGGCTACCCTATTTTAATGTACTATTATATAAATTTAGCCTTTGGATCAGAACCTGGTTTTTTTCATGCCCCTATTAGGTTGGACAAGCTCAGTGAAGACTTAAATTCTGACAATGTTCTCAAGGAGACACTGTATGCAATAGAGTTAACTCAATGTGTTTCTAACTACTGGTAATTTGCCTAGATTTTCACAAAGACATTTTCCTATTACCGGATATCAGATTGCTTAGTTGCCAACTAAATTTGGGACCTTTAGAACAATTATATGTTTAAAGTAGTTACAATATAAGCAAAAACACAGGGAACCAGCTAAGCAAAGAAGAGAATAAAAGTATTCTAAAAGCAATTCAGAATCCTGTTGGATTGGAAGAACGTATGACAGATAATACTGTGAAATAATACACTACATGCAAATATCACAAATTGTCCAGGTTTAGGGGTATTTTATGGCCACCACAATTATGAAACCAGACCAATCAAGGTAACTACATAGCATACAAATTCAGAAGCATGGGAACATATGGTGTAAGGCTGCCTTACACTAAATATACTTTTAGGCTAATATTGTCTATTCTACTTTTGTTCATTACTAGACAACCTGTGATCCAATAGGTCATCAATTCAGTTCAGTTTATTCAGGAAATAATGTTTCATGGACATTTACTTACCTAAACAGATCAACAGAGTAACCATGCATTGGGGGTGGGGGTGGGGTGGGGTGGAGAAACCATAGGGCACAGAAGCAATTTCCGACTTCCTTCTGGCTTCCCTAGTGACATTGCTTTTTGCAAAGCTTGTAGGGAGAAAGTCAATAGGGATCTAGTAGGGAAGGATACAAGTTCCTTGGGTAAGCCTTCCCCTAATGGGCACTCTACTCAAATAATCTGTGCTTATGCTGCACTGGCACTCCTGTACACCCTCTCCAATCTGCATCACAACCCCATGCACACTGTCCGTCTATGTTACACCCTTGTGAACTTTCATTGACATATACCATGCTCAGACACACTCACTCCCTCCTTCCCTCCCCCATCTGACAGTAGCCACTTATCTGTCTGTCAGCCTGAGACTTGCAACTTCCTGCCGGTTTCTCCACTGCTTGTGGAAAACTGGCAGGGAATATTGACAATCACTATCAAGTCTAGATTTCCTGATGGCTTCTCCATTGACTTGTGAGAAGCTATTAGAAATGCCAATCACATCACTAGTAGTGTGATCATGTTGAAGAGGCCACAACACTTCAATTTTTTAATTCATGGGAGTAATAGGCTATACATTTTGGACAGATTTTGTAGGTTGGCCCATTTGAGGTACTTTGGTTCAAAAATCATTGCCCTGTGATGTATCATTTTGCCCAATTGAGGATTACAAATAGAAAAACACAAGAGTTTTAGTAGTATCTAGGCAGTGCTCAATGATAGTTTTCATTATAGCTCACTGAGTAAACTACAATGGAAGAATTCATCCATTGCACTTAATATAAATATAATATAAAGAATTGCTCAGGGTTTCATACTGGAAATTTTCATACCCTACTTGGAGTTGCTGTACATTTAATCCAGGACACATTATGGCAAGCAAGCAAGGACCATACCATGGACATAGAGATGCTGATCTTTGAAGCAGTCCATATATAGAGAGAGACTGGGCAGAATTATGCTCTGCTGCATTTAGCAAGTGATAAATATTAAAGTTAGGAGAACAAACAAGATTATTGTTTTACTTTCCCCTAGTTGGCAATATAAGTCCAGAGAATTTTGTTCTAAGCAACAGCTAGGAATTCCAAGAGTTGCAGCATAAAACAGCAAGACAGCTAAAATTTGCCACCCCATCAGAGATGGGTTCCTCCCGGTTTGGCCCAATTCAGCCGAACCAGTAACGGAATTCAGGCCTGGGTTGCAGAACCAGCAGTGACCCAGGCCTGCCACACCTTTGAACCGGTTCCCACACCGCTGATGGGCTGCTGCCATTTTGGTTTTTAGTGTCTGTGCGTGCGCATGCACCAGTGGTGAGTTCCGGATCCCGGTGCAACCGGTACAGTGCAACGGGGCCTGGCGTCCACCACATGAACATGCGCGGCACCCACGTACTCACATGCAGCACGCGCATGCGTCCTTACCTCCTGTGACATTCTGCAACGCCTCCGCGATGCTCCAGCTGCTCGGCGGAGCATTGCGCAGGTGCTATACGCTCTGTGTGCAGAAGTGTCGAAGAGCTCAAATACAGGTAAGGAGGGTGGGCAGGCGGGCCCTCTGGAGTACCGTACAGGAATGGTACCTGGTGCTCCCAGCAGGCACTAGTACCCCCGTACCTGGGCGTACTGCCTGCAACCAGGGGTGGGTTTCAACCGGTTTGCGGCGGTCCCTGCGAACCGGTTGGTTGGCGAACCCGTAAGTAAGTAACTTCCAGGGACAGCGAAGGGCTCACCCGCCCGCCCGCGCTCCTTACCCGGTTTTAACGAGTTCTGCGCTTCCACGCATGCGCAGGACGCATACAGCGCCTGCACGATCCTCCAGGAGCAGCTGGAGCATCGCACAGACGCTAGTACGCATGCGTGCTCCACGTGCATGCAAGAGGACGCCGTCAGCCCCATTCCACCCGAACCGGTTGGAATGGGGCGAGAAACCCACCCCTGCCTGCAACCCACCACTGGCATGCACAAAAAAATAATTTACATTGAACAGCGCACGCATTGCACGCAGGTTGCAAACCGGTAGTAAAACCTGCAGCAACCCACCCTTGCACCCCATGTTAGTTCATACCCCAGAATATCATATGCATGAAAGCTAATAGAAT